CCTACCACTTTGAGAAGCTGAGGTTCGAGGAGCGCTTGAGGCCAGGAGTTTGAGACTGGCCTGGGCAACAAAACAAGACCCTGTGTCTCTACAAAAAAGAAAAAAATTAGCCAGGTGTGGTGCCACACACCTATAGTCCTAGCTACTCAGGAGGCTGAGGCGGGAGAAATCACTTTAGCTCAGGAGTTGGAGGTTGCAGTGAGCTATGATCTTGCCATTGCACTTCAGCCTGGGCAACAAAACAAAGTGATTTCAGAGCATTTCGGATTTTTTGATTAGGTATACCCAATCTGTGCTCCTAAGAGCTGCTGCTCTTCTCACTCACTCTGAGTCAAAATCGTGACAGTGGATTAACTATCACTATTTCAGTGGTTTAGAACTATCACTAGAAGTCTAAAATACAGAGATGCTCACGTTCCACCCCAGACTTCATTTATGAGTAGGAATCTCTGGAAGTGGAGTCCAAGGACCTCCATATTTCCTATCCCTATATGCTCCTTAGGCAAGAAGCATATCCTCTGCTTAACATAGTGCCTGGCATACTTAGAAAGCACAATCAACATCTGCTGGACACTGTTGTGGAAATACAAAATGGCAAGTTTAAATACTCCCAACTGCAGAATTGAACAGGGTTAATTTAATAATTTACCTAGCTACTTATACAGTTACATTAGAAAACCACTTTTTAGGCTGGGCACGGTGGCTCACGACTGTAATCCCAGCACTTTGGGAGGCCGAGTTGTGTGGATAACCTGGAGTCAGGAGTTCAAGACCGGCCTGGGCAACATGGTGAAACCCCCTCTCTACTAAAAAATACAAAAATTAGGTGGGTGTGGTGGTGCACACCTGTAATCCCAGCTACTCGGGAGGCTGAGGCAGGAGAATTGCTCGAACCCAAGAGGCAGAGGTTGTAGTGAGCCAAGATCACGCCACTGCACTCCAGCCTGGGCAGCAGAGTGAAACTCTGTCTCAAAAAAAAAAAAAAAAAAAAACCCTAGCCAGGCATGGTGGCTCACACCTGTAATCCCAGCACTTTGGGAGGCCAAGAAGGACAGATCACTTGAGGCCAGGAGTTCGGGACCAGCATGACCAACATGGCGAAACCTCGTAACACAAAAATCAGCTGGGCCTGGCGGCAGGTGCCTGTAATCCCAGATACCAGGGTGGGAGGCGGCTGGGGCGGGGAAGACTGAGGCAAGGGTAATCTCTTGAACCTGAGAGGTGGAGGTTGCAGTAAGCTGAGATCAGGCCACTGCACTCCAGCCTGGGTGACAGAGCAAGACTGTCTCCAAACAAAACAAAACAAAACAAAAAACTCAGATTTTTTTTTTTTTCCTTAAAAGCTGAAAAGGCAAGCTAGGTAGCCACAAAGGATTTAAATAAAAGACTAAATTAAATATATTTGGTCTTTTATTTAAATGTTAATCGGGAAAGTATAGAAAGCCAGAAAACCAAGAGCTTTCTGAAAGAAAAATAAAGTTGACTTATTTGAAGACCAAACCTAACCTGTAGATATCCACAAATAACAGTATTTATGCTGTTGCCCAGAACTCCTCTCCCAGAAAAAGTAATCAAATTCCCAAGGAAACACTAAATTAATTTGGTGATCTTTTTACATTTCAAACTTTTTCACCTGCCAATGTATCTTACCTGATTTCATACTGAAAATTAGAATTGGAAACAGGGAATTTAAATTTTTAAAAATTAACAGTAAGCTCTCTAATGCAAACTAAGTAAAATTCAGTGTTTATCAAACCAACATTAAAAACCTAGATAACTGCTATTTCCAACCTCTATTAATAGAAAGAAGTCTTACAAACCAGTAAGAGATAAATATCCCAAAGAGGGGCAATGGGCAAGAGAGGATAAAATGAGCAAAAAGCAAGGGGCAATTTAAAAAAGAAATACCAAGCCCAATAAACGAAAGTTCAATTTCACCAGGTTTTTTTTGCCCATCAAACACTGGTTGGGAAAACTAGCATAACTTTTCCAAAAGCAATGTGGTAGTATGTATCAAACGTATTGAAAATGAGCAAATTCTTTTGACTCAGCAATTCACCTTATCCCAAGAAAGTAAGAACAAAGACTGACCTATAATAATATTTTAAATGATGTTTATAAAAGCCAGAAACTAGAAAATAAAAAGGCAGGCAAATCACAGACTGATTAAATAAATCAGTTTGGATCGATAATCATGTAAGTTCTCAAAAGACTTACTTGACAGAAGGTTGTTCAGAGGATTTTTGTAATAATGTTTTTCCACTAAAAACACAGAACATACAGTACGGTTTCACTGTTATTAATGTGGAACCATATTAGTAGCTACCCAAAGGTCTAGAAAAATAACTACAGTTGACATTTTGGTGTAGGTCTCTGGGTGGCAGGCTCGTTTTGTCTTTTTATTTTTTCTTACCTAATCAGATTTATCTTACACGTGCATCTTCTACAGGCCGGGCGCGGTGGCTGACGCCTGTAATCCAGCACTTTGCGAGGACGAGGCGGGCGGATCACGAGGTCAGGAGTTCGAGAACAGCCTGGCCAGCATGGTGAAACCCGTCTCTACTAAAAATACAAAAAATTAGCTGAGCATGGTGGCGCACGCCTGTAGTACCAGCTACCGGGGAAGCTGAGGCAGGAGAACTGCATGAATCCGGCAGGCAGAGGTTGCAGTGAGCTGAGACTGCACCATTGAACTCCAGCCTGGGAGACACAGCGAGACTCTGTCTGTCTCAAACAAAAAAAAATTATCTTCTACAATCCTCAACTTCCTTCTTAGACTGCGTTCTCTATATTAAAAAATTAAGACTTCCACTATTTAGTAATGGCACTAGGTATCAGACATTTTTCTATTATGCAAAACGCTGTATTCAAACAGTGCCTGAATGATTCAATTTTTAAAACTGTTATTTATAATACTATAAAAATCTGTTAATAATAGAAAGTCAACGAGTTGACAGTGACATACTTCTAATTTGTCAATGAATATTTAGCCAACCAATTTATGTTAAAAAAGAAATGATGACTGACAAGCAAGAGGCAATAGTAAGTAACTTGCTGCTCATATATGTTTCCTTCCAGGTTTTCTAAAAGTTGCACTAAATCAAGCTTCATTTTTATTCTTCGGCCATATCCCTGATTCCTCAGGACAAGTGAGGTTTTTTTCCCCCAAACAAATGAAGATTTTTGATTTTCTAAAGCTCAAAAATGCAAAATCTGACGCATATGGTTCACTGAGATGTGGTTATCAACTTACACCAAGCCTAACTTACCACAAAATAGAAAATATCAGAGAAAGGAGTTCACAAGCAGAAAGTCTCTTCTTTCTCACAATAGAGTCTTGTCCAATATTAGACAACACTGCGTTTTGTTGCCGTTTTAGCTACAAGGATGGGTGTGCAGTATGCAGTAACTATTCCAACAGTTTCAAGCAAGTCATGTGCTATGACTAGAAAACGTAGCAGTTAGGTCCCAAACAGCAAAAATGTAAAAAAGATGTAAGCAGAAGCCTCACCATCTGAAAAGGCCCATCAGCACCTCTTCCGAGAAACAGTTCCCTTCCCCCACCCTTTAAGTAGGCACTTGAGACTGCCAAGATCCATTTCTTTATTAACTGGTGCCCACTTGGGGCAACTGTACACCAAGCTGCTCTAAGGCCTACTCTAATCCCTTCCAAAAGTGCTCGAATGAGGGTAAGGCCGGGATAACCCTCGTCGGGGCCCAATTCTTCCTGACTCCTCTTCCCCACCCCACCTCCTCCGCCCCGCCCCAGTAGGCGCTCGCCCAGCCAGAGAAAGGACACCGGGGCCAGGGACTGGCAGAAATTGCCCGCAAGAGAAGGCTTAGGCGGCCGAAGGCCTCCGCCATAGCAGGACTTGGGAAGCACCGCCCCCAGTGTACCTCCCCACACCCGGCTAATCGGCGAACCTCTGCTTTCGACACCCTCTATCCCCAGCAGAGGCAGCGGAGAAGACAAGGCCGGGAGGCACCGGGCTGGGCTGCGCACCAGGCCCAGGCCTGTCCCTTGGGACCGCGCGTGCAGCCTGAATCCGCTCCCCGGTTGAGCCCGGTCCAGCTGGCGCGGCGGCCACCCTCACCTGGATGACCTCGTTGACCTCCCGGATACATTCCACCATGTGTTGTAGAATCTGCTCGGCCGTGAGCACCTCGTAGCGGTAATCCTCTTCCTGCTCGTGCCCCGGCCCGCCACCACCGCCGCCGCCGCCGCCGCCGCCGCCACCGCCGGGCCCCAGAGCGCTGCCGCCGCCACCGCCCGTCTCCCCGCACAGCAGTCCGTCCCGCTCCCCGCCGACGCCCAGGCCGGGCTCCACCAGCTCCACCTCGCCCAGATCCAGGGTATCATCGTCCGGCTCGTCGTCGTCTTCGTCCTCCTCCTCCTCGGCGCCGCTGTCCTCCTCACTGCACTCCTCGTCCTCGTCGAACTCGTAGTTGTAGCCCTCGTCCGAGTCCATGGCGCGACGCGCGGGGGCCCGGCGGACGCTGGCCGAGGCGGGGAGAGGGCGGGGACGCCGAGGCCCCGGCTCTCGCTCCGGCTCCGGCTGATGTCCGGACGCAGGCCTGGCTCCGGCCCCGCGGGCCGCGGCTCCTCCCCAGGAGCGGCGGTTGGCGTTTGACTGCTGGTGGCGGCGGGGAGGGCGCGGAGGAGGGAGGGAGGGAGCGAGGGGGCCGCTTGCTGCCCGCCTCAGTCAGACGCGGCTCCGCTCCGGCCTCCGAGAGAAAACAGTCCCCAGCGCCACCTCCACGGCCGCTGCTATCGCTACTGAGCCAACAAAGGGGCGTGCGTCACCGCGTCGCGTTGCGTCGTCGCGTCACTCCTCTTTGCGTCACTGCGCCCCGCCCCGCCGCCCCTGCGTGGAGCCCGGGGAGACCCCACGGACCGGCCTACCTGGGGCTAGGACCTGAGCTGGAATTGCCTTCTCGGTTCGGTGCGCTGCCGCTGTGAGGGCCGAGCGGAAACCCGTAGAGCTTTCATGTGAAGAGATTGCGGCCTCCTGGTCACCAGTCACCGAGAGAGGGACCCCTGGACCGCCTAGGTGGTGGTGTTTGCCGTAGGCCATAGGGATCCAGCCCCCTCCGGCAGTCCCATGGGGACGCGGCCTTCCCACCCGGGCGGAAAGGCGCTTCCCGCCCGCCCTGCGGTAATCCCGGAAGCCGTGATCTGTTAATCTAAAATTTCTGTTGCTTTGGCTACTGATGGAAAACTGTTGTAAGTGGAACCTCTAAACTGCATGACAGGCGAACCCACTTTAGGTAGCTGTGTGATTCTGTTCACTTGTACAGACATGCTGTGGTTTTTAAGTCTCCTATCATGACGTCATTTTAAAGAGGCATTTCCTCAACCCCGCTGATTAGAGCGCCTCTTGAGGGCCCTAAACAATGTAAACAGCGATGGTTTTCATGAATTGAGCACTGTGTAAGGGCTTTACATATATTCTGTTTCATCTTCATGGAGCCATGGTACCCATTTTATACCTGAGGAACCTGAAGCTCAGAAAGGAAAAGGGACCTGGCCAAGACCACGTAACCCTTGCCCTATTTTAGCCACTGGATGCCCCAAAACATGAATCATAAAAATGCATTGTAATGCGTATGTATTATATACTTTATAGTACATAAAAGATATGAATGCTTCAACAAAATACAGGCAATAATAGAAATATCTACAAGGGCCAAATGTAGCAAGAGAGATAATGCTTGAATCTCATCTGAAAGTGTGCTATGTGAGCTGAGTGTTGTTGAATGGCTAGGAGTTCAACAAGAGAAGGCAGGGAAGATGGTCTGGCCACAGAGAACAAGCAAAAGCGCAGAAGGTGTAAAGTAATTAATAGTTTGGGAGCTTAAACTGCATGCAGGGTAGATGGCAAAATATTAGGCAAGTTAGTCAGGGGTCATGTCAGTAAGAGCATTTTATGCCTTTTTAAGAGTGGGCTTAAATCTTTGTAAACAGGACATGAGAGCCAGACAAGTGTTATGAAGGAAGAGGAGGCATAAGAAGGCTCCCTCTTGAGATAATCTGAAGAATTGGCCAGATTGAAAACCTTTTAAAGTCTAAATCCCTGCTTTGTTGATAAATCTTACTGTTCAACCTATAGGTTCCCTTTGGAAATTGATTTTGAAAAGTGAAAAATTCCATTATAATGTTAAAAAGCCTCTACCAATTTGTCCATTTTGTAAGTTTCGAAATACTGATAATTTCTTTTTTTTTTTTATTTATTATTATTATACTTTAAGTTGTAGGGTACATGTGCATAACGTGCAGGTTTGTTACATATGTATACTTGTGCCATGTTGGTGTGCTGCACCCATCAACTCGTCATTTACATCAGGTGTAACTCCCGATGCAATCCCTCCCCCCGCCCCCCATGATAGGCCCCGGTGTGTGATGTTCCCCTTCCTGAGTCCAAGTGATCTCATTGTTCAGTTCCCACCTATGAGTGAGAACATGCGGTGTTTGGTTTTCTGTTCTTGTGATAGTTTGCTAAGAATGATGGTGGGATTGTAAACTAGTTCAACCATTATGGAAAACAGTATGGCGATTCCTCAAGGATCTAGAACTAGATGTACTGATAATTTCTTAACCTCAGGATTTAAAAAGTAAAGCTTTTAACCTCTACTGGTAGGTCTAGGTTCTTTTTTGTTCTTTTTTTTTTTTTTTGAGACGGAGTCTTGCTCGGTTGCCCAGGCTGGAGTGCAGTGGCGCAATCTCGGCTCACTGCAAGCCCCGCCTCCTGGGTTCACGCCATTCTCCTGCCTCAGCCTCCCAAGTAGCTGGGACTACAGGCGCCCACCACCACGCTTGGCTAATTTTTTTTTGTATTTTTAGTAGAGACGGGGTTTCACCGTGTTAGCCAGGATGGTCTCGATCTCCTGACCTCGTGATCCACTCGCCTCAGCCTCCCAAAGTGTTGGGATTACAGGCGTGAGCCACCACACCCGGCCCTTTTGGAGGCTTTTTTTTTTTTGTTTGAGACAGAGTCTCACTGTGTTGCCCAGGCTGGAGTGCAGTAGCGATCTCAGCTCACTGCAACCTCCACCTCCCAGGTTCAAGCAATTCTCCTGTTTCAGCCTCCTGAGGAGCTGGGACTATAGGCGCATGCCACCACCCCAGGCTAATTTTTGTATTTTTAGTACAGACAGGGTTTCACCATATTGGCCGGGCTGGTCTCGAACTCCTGACCTCAGGTGATCCAGCTGCCTCGGCCTCCCAAAGTGCTGGCATTACAGGTGTAAGCCATGGTGCCCACCCAGGTCTAGGTTCTTTGATTCAGTGTTCCTATTTAGCAATTCTAGATTGCTGCCACAACTAAGGCAAGCCATAGACACAAGCAACACTTCTCTCCACCCAGTCTCCACTGTGATATTACCTACAGAAAAATTCAGTAGGTACCTAGTCAGTACTCTAAACTCCTTTGCCTCACCTTTTCATCGTATCCCTACCTTGAATGAACCCTACCATCCATATTCTCCCCTTTGATAATGGAACAGCTGACCACTATTAGATAAATGTGCATAGCCATCTGTATTCTATTACTAAATTTCTTTTTTTTTTTTTTTTGGAGGCACTCTTGCTCTGGCACCCAGGCTGGAATGCGGTGGTGTGATCACTACTGCAGCCTCGACGTCCCGAGCTCAAGTGATCCTCCCACTTCAGCCTCCTGAGTTGCTGGAACTACAGGTGCACACCACCATGCCTGGCTAATTTTTTAATTTTTTTGTGTATATACATCTCACTATGTTGCTCAGACTGGTCTGGAACTCCTGGCCTCAAGCAGTCCTCCCACCATGGCCTCCCAAAGTGCTAGGATTATAGGCGTGAGCCACTACACCCAGCCTACTTAATTTCAATCACCAAGCACAACTCAACCCTCAATACTTCCCAGCAATCCTATTAAATTTTTCCGGATTGTTCTCCCTCTCTCAGCAACTCTTTCACACCTTTGCCAATTTCCTAAAACTTCCAACCCTGCCCTTTCACATCTTCTCAAAACACATGACTTTTTAAGTCACAGAGGAATTTGAAAATATCAGGACCAATATGACTTGAGACATGCTGAGCAAAGAAGAGGGTGTTAAGGGATAAAGTCAAATAAAGCAGATCAAGGTAGGGGCCAGTAGGGGCCTTGTAGGTCATCTTAAGAAGTTTACATTATTGCAGTGGCAATTATTAAAGGGTTTTAAGCAGAAGAGTGAAACTATATGATCTGTGTTTTTGAAAGATAACTGGGCCTGGTGCAGTGGCTCAAGCCTGTAATCCCAGCACTTTGGGAGGCCGAGACGGGTGGATCACGAGGTCAGGAGATCGAGACCATCCTGGCTAACACGGTGAAACCCCGTCTCTACTAAAAAAATACAAAAAAACTAGCCAGGTGAGGTGGCGGGCGCCTGTAGTCCCAGCTACTCGGGAGGCTGAGGCAGGAGAATGGCGTAAACCCAGGAGACGGAGCTTGCAGTGAGCTGAGAGCCAGCCACTGCACTCCAGCCTGGGCGACAGAGTGAGACTCTGTCTCAAATAAAATAAAATAAAATAAAATAAAATAAAATAAAATAAAATAAATAAAATGACTGCTTTATGGAGAATGGACTATGAAAACAAAGCAATTATGAGGCTATCTCAGTAGTCCAACTAAGTAGTGATAATAGCCTGAACTAGGGTTGTGGCAGTGGAGGTGATAAGAAGCGGTTCAGATTGAGATAGAATTTGAAAGCAGAGACAAAATATTTGCTGATGGCTTGACAGTGGGTTTGATGCAGGAAACAAGGATGCCTACTATATTTGGAGCTTGAGCGACTGGGTGAATGGTGGCATCACTTACTGAAACATGTTATTTGAGGTGGTCATTAGACATCAGGGTAGAGGTGTTGAGAGGCACTTTCATAAACTAAAGTACAAGACTGAAGGTCAGGAAAAATTAGAGCTGGAGATAGAATTTTACCAGAGTTTACACCAGCAATATTGAGAAGTGGCATAGGATAAAGGTGAAGAGAATAAAAATTATTGAAGCAGATGGACCTGAATTTGCCTCTGCCCCTCTTGTTGCTGTCTGTAACCTTAAGCAAATTACTAAGCCTCTTTTAGAGGTTTACTTTAGGGGATCATAATTCCTGTTCTCATAGGATTATTTGTATCAGATAAAATTATGTATTTAAAGCACTTACAGTACCTGGCACATAGTTAAGTACTCACAAAATCAGAGCTTTTAAAAAGTGTCATAAGTCACCTTTATAATCTTTTAATCAGTTTTTGTTTGTTTGAGATGGAGTCTTGCTCTGTCACCCAGGCTGGAGTGCAGTGGCATGATCTCAGCTCACTGCAAGCTCCGCCTCCCGGGTTCAGGCAATTCTCCTGCCTCAACCTCCTGAGTAGCTGGGACTACAGGCACACACCACCAAGCCTGGCTAATTTTTGTATTTTTAGTAGAGACAGGGTTTTACCATGTTGGTCAGGCTGGTCTCGAACTCTTGACCTCATGATCCTACCGCCTCGGCCTCCCAAAGTGCTGGGATTACTGTCATGAACCACCACGCCAGGCCTAATCAGTTTTATTTTAATTATGCTTATATGTACACAGCCTGTGTCATCCCCATTTTCTAGGGAAGACAATTGGTCTGATTTTTTTCCTCAGAAACCTTTTCCATGATCTCATGACTTCATTTTTTATTAATATCATGAAAATTATTACAGTGCTTCTGAATTTTTGGGTCTCCTATCCATGGATAAACCATGATAACCATGGTTTGATGGTTAATTAACTTTCGTTCTATACATATTTTTATAGAACTAATTAGTTAACATTCATTCTATACATATTTTGGAAACCATCTTAGATTCAGGTTAGGTTATGGTGCTATTTAAGGAAAACCAGTAGAACAACTTCTCTCTGGCCCCAGATTGGCCAAGGGATGACCCACATACATTATTTTGTTTTGTTTTTTAATGACTTGTTCTTAAAGGTATTGCATGTGTTATTGTTTTCCCAGCTATGGTGATTACTAGCTAGAAGCACAGTAGTCTCTAAACAACAACAGGAAAAGGTTCTTGAAAAAGAAAATACACAAATTAATTCCTTTTTGGTGCCGAGATAATCATTGTTGGTAATTTGGCACTCACCTTGTCCGCAAGTCCTAGTAAGGTAAAAAAATATTGGTATACGTTTATAAAATATCTATTCATGGGGCAAAATTCCATAAATATTTATATGCTAACCA